ATCGTCATCGTCATCATCATCATTATCCTAATGCTCGTCGTTGTCGTTCTTGTCGACGGCATCAATATATTGATGCGCACAGGAACCAGTGCAGTCATTGAGCACCACCACAGTGAAAACACCCGTTGGACACCCCTGCATGCTTGCATGGAGGCAGTCTTGACCTCAGCATTTTTGCAGTGCTCAAGGTTTCAATCATGGAGGGGGGACCCGGGGCCGATCCGGCAGCGATCAGGAGGTTCAGGAACAGGTCAACCCGTGGGTCGACGCTTGAGAAGCTGAACCAGACGAGGCAGTCGACGCCCGTCAGAGTGAAGGAGCCGGGTCCAGAGAATGACCTTTACCTTGACGCTCTGTCGGCCAGGCTTGATAGTGTCGAGGGCCTGGAAAAAGCTATTCAGGCCCACCTCTTCGGAGTGGAGGAGCGAAGCAGAGCAAGCTTGGATAACAAAGTGCAGGAGATCATGAGGCTCCTCGAAGATATACTGCCCTAAACCCTAAACCCTAAACAAAAAAAACCCTAAACCCTAAACCCTTAAACCCTAAACATCATGAGGCTCCTGGAAGATATTCTGGAGACCCTGAAGTCCAAGACCGCTGCAGATTTGCAGACCTTGGGATGCTTGGCGGACTTGGAAAGGGACTTTACCTGCCTTTTAGGGTTTTAGGGTTTTAGGGTTGAGGGCTTTGGCCCATACCAAGCCCCTCCTAAACCGATCTATCCAAAAAACACCGAGGCACACCCCAACAAAACCGGAATAAACGGAGCCTGCTCGAGTCTGACCGGACCCTTGAAGCCTCCAGCCTCCCCAGGAAGCCAGCAAAACCAAAGAGCCCCAAAGCCCAAACTCTCCGACGCCTTCGGCCCTGAAGCAAAGGAACCAGCGAAGAGGCTCGCGGCTCGGTGCTCCGAGGGTTTGCGTTCAGGGTTTAGGGTTCTGGGTTTTGGGGTTTGGGGTTCAGATAATTTAGGGTTTAGGGTTTAGGGTGAAGGTAAGGGTTTAGGGTTTGGGTAATCTAGGGTTTAGGCTTTAGGGTTTAGATCTGTAGAGTTTTGTGGCTCAGGGATCTGGGACTTGCCTTCTGGCTTCAAAGTCTAAGACCCTGAGTCTAAGACTCTGAATCCCCCCATCCCTGCTGCCCCTGAGCTCAGCCCTGAAACCCTAAGCCGGAATGAAGCCCTAAACCCTAAACCCTAAACCCTAAACCCTAAATCCTAAACCCTAAACCCTGAACCCTAAACCCTAAACCCTAAACCCTAAACCCTAACTGCACACAGGTGAAGCCCCCGGAGATCTCCCCGCGCTTTGCAGAGCTGCCCGCGCTCCCTTTCGGAAAGTCCGCCGAGCTTGAAGAGGCGAAAAAGTCGGAGGTTTGGGCTTCGGAGTACAGAGTTTGGATTTGGGGGTTACTTTAAGACCTACTAGCAGGGTCACTATAAAGCTTGGAGACAGGACCCTTGCGTGGAGGAGCCGCGCAAAGAGGAGTCGACAGTGCTGCAAGGCGTGACGACCTCTCTGTCCCGTGGCCATCCTTCAGCCAAGTTTTATAAACTCTTAGACGTGGCCGTGGGGGACGGAATTAGACTGACAGATTGTCGTTTTTCAAAAGGAGCACATCCATGGACCATGTGTCTGGACATACTTGCGGTATGTACGGATGGAGTGTACGAGCGGAAACATGCATCTTTTCTCGTATACTTGTAGGTGCATGCATGTATGCATGTATGGAAGCATGCCTGCCTGCATGCATGCATGCATGCATGCATGCATGCATGCATGCATGCATGTATGGTGTACGTACAAAGGCATCAGTCTTTTCAGCCGGCTGCCCTAAGCTCAGGCCTCGTCTGGGTCCAGGGCAGTTGCGCAGCCTGACATTCCCGAAATCCTCGGCCTCCAAAAATCTAAAACCTTGAGCCTCAAACTTAACCCGAAGCCTTACGAAGTCTTCCCAAGCCACATAGCCCTAGCCGAAAAACGACAACGATAGTCTCCCACCATATCCTCAGCAACCCCTCATAAAGACCTGATGAGATCCCCCGCCCACAACCCCAGACCCTGAACCCTAAAACCCTAAACCCCTACACTTTCCTCAACCCTAAATCCTAAACCTAGAGACCCCCGGTAAAACCCGTCTTGAAGCACTCCGGAGAGGTCGGACTTCCGGCTCCAGAACAGCCAGTCAACGATCCTCAACCTCGATGAGGGCCTCCGGGCTGCCACCCCGTTGCAGGGGCTGTAGGACTTCCGCGCTTTAGGGCTTTAGAGCTTTGACAGTTTTTTTTTTTCGGCTTTGGGTTCAGGTTTCGGGGGGCCTTGTGCGCGAGGTTTTGCAGTTTCCGGGTGTATGATTCGAGGATGGTGGGATTCAGAGCTTCGCCTTACGGGTCTTTTGGCTTCCTTTTCACGCGCAAAGCCATCTGGAAAGAACGGAGCCAAAGCCCGAATCTAAAACCAGGCCTCCAGCATGGACAAGGTCCTTTCGGTATCCGTTGGCAAGAAGATCTACCGAAGGCACTTGTTTAAGCGAGTTATGTGGTCCTGCTTGGAGGATGAGAGCTCCTCAAGAATGGCTTGGTATTATGGCTACTGCATGGATGCATTCATCGTATTCTCCGTCCTCTTGCCCCTCTTTGAATCCTCTCAAATTGGCGAGGCAGATATGGTTCCGATGCTGGCTCCCATGTCGGTTATCAATCTGGTATTTGACGTCATCTTTCTGATTGACCTGTGCTTCCGCTTCCTCGCGTGGCCAACCATGTCGCACTTCTTCTGCAACGCGTACAACGTGATCGACATGTTTGTGATCCCCTCGTTGGGTATTCGAGTGGCCCTGGGCGTGAACATCAGCCCGACCTCACACGTGATGTGGAGCACGTTGCTTCTTGGCTTTTTCCCGGTCCTAAGGCTTCTGAAGCTCCTGCGGCGATTTCAGACCTTCCAGGTTCTCCTAAGTGCATGGTGGGCTGTTTTCGAAGCACTACCCATGTTGATCTTTGTCCTCGCCATCATTGCGCTGACCTTTGCTGCAGCACTCTTTTCTGTTGAGCCTCGTTCCAACATCGCTGACTGGGGAAGCGCGCTGTGGCTGACCGTGGTGTCCATGACTGGGCTGGGATATGGTGATCTGTCGCCTTGCACACCCCAAGGGAAAGTCTGCGTTTCGATTCTCATCATCACCAGCCTTCTGTACCTTTCCATTCCATTCGGAATTCTGGGCAGTGCCTTCACCCTTGCATGGAGTCAACGTGATGCAGTCATGGCTGTTCGCAAGTTGCGCAAGCACCTCGCCAACCACGGTTTCACATCCGAAGACATGCGGAAGCTGCTGCAGCACTTTGACTTGGACCACGACGCAGAGATTTCACTAGTGGAGTTTCGCACAATGATCAACCATGTTATGATAGGATTCACAAACGAAGAGGTCAGTGATTTGTTCGAAAGTCTAGATTTCCAGCAGCGCGGGCTGATTCGCGCTGCTTCGTTCCTGACGATGGTGTTTCCCCGTGAGTTTGAAGAGTGCAAGCAAACGTACGTGCCAGCCCTCAGAAAGAAGCACAGGATTTTCTACTAGGCGCCATCTTATGGGCCTGCTTCCTGGAGCATGGAATGTACAGACTGCGCACCCTGCCTAGGAGGCTCTTCGTAGCTCTGGCGTCTCGGAATTCCGGATGCTGTGACCTTGAAACTCTCTTACCGTATACGTATCAGTCCATAGAACCGGAACCCTAGCCATCCCTGATCCGGAAACCTCAACTCATCCGAAGCCGCATCCTCAGCTCAGATCCCAGCTTCCGTGGCGACTTTTGAGGTAGAAAGGAGCCTTCAAGCTGCGCATCCCAGGAAGGTGGAACTCACTTCCCATGACAGGGCTGCTCTGATTGAGAGGGGTTCATAAGGAGCTTCAGACTTAGGGTTAGGGTTTAGTTTGGGTCAGGGAGGGGGCTTAGGATTTTCCGGATGCCTAACTTCGGAGCAACCTCCATGAGCATCAAAGATGCAACTGCGGAGGCATGGGAGTGATGCGCCTGCAAACAGGGATGGGGCTTTCCGCTTTGAAAAAGGTGAGAACTCACGGTCCCTAACCCGGAGAACCCAATACCCCTTAATTCAGGAATCCAGGAATATACCTTAAATCATAATATTCAGGCCCCTATAACTGAAGGTATATTCCTTAATTAAGGGGTATTGGGTTCTCTGGGAACCTGTCCCTACACCCAGCCAACTGCTATTCGATGCAAGGGCCCAATCCGATCAGCGTAGCTTTGGGTTAGCGTTGCGTTTAGGGCTTAGGGCTTAGGGTTTAGGGTTTAGGGTTTAGGGCTGCATCCGTGGTCTCTCGGTGCATATGCGCATGTTGCGAATGGTCCGCTGCATTCAGAAGATGCTTTACACCGCTTGAGTGGCCTTGTACCAAGGCAGAGGGCCCAGCTGACGAAGGGGGGTGCCCGACTGCTTGACTTAAGTGTGACATGCAAGACAGGGATGATTGCTCTCGACATCCGTCGAGCCACCAATGTACCACCCAAGTGCAGGTAACGATCCTTGCTCGCGCGGCACGTGCGTGCTATACTATGTGTATGCAGAGTTGTGAGCATCTGCCGTTTCTTGGTTCCGACTTCCGAAAATTGCAGGAAAACCCTCAGCTCAGGGCGACTAAGCTCATCAACCCTGAAGCCAGACGGCTTTTTGCGGCAAAGAGAAGCCAGGCGAAGTGCAGCGAAGAAGCCCAAGGTGCCTTGTGGGCACCCTCGGCAGGAGTTGAGTAGCCGTTCAAGAGCCAGCGTTGCTTCTGCAGAGGCAGCGCGTCGTTAGCTTCGCAGTAAGATGGCAGGAGGCCCTGAAGCAATGCAGGGCCTCTGCTGCAAATCCTGCATGCGAAACCTGAACTACGGCCCGAAAATTCCCAAACTTAGAGTCCCCCAAATATGAACATCCATAGTCCCCGCTTTCCGCTCCTCCTTTTGTGATTCTCGGAAGGTGGCTCGTGATGCCGCAAATCCCGCAGCTGTAGCAGGCTGCCCACTGTTGAGAATCCATGAGACGAGTACCCGTCACTAGTGAACCCCTAAACCCTAAACTTCCCTAAACCATAAACCCTAAACTAGTGGAGGTTTAGGGTTTAGGGGTGACTGGAGAACCTCCTGGGTCTGCTGGGTGGGTGCCGGCTTCAATGCCTTCGAAAGACTACTTGACTTTGCCTTTTGGGTGCAGGGTTTAGGGTTTAGGGTTTTGGGTGCTTTTGGAAGACCTGATATCTCATATGAGAGTCTGAGAGAATGTGGGACCCACATCCAGACCCAGGATTGAAGTATCCTTATTTTAAGGACCCCTAAAAACGGTACCCTGATATGATATGCTCAGAAGCCCACAACATATCCTGCCACATCTCGGATGGAAGGGAATCTGGTTTCAACCTCTAGCAGTTTACAAGGGTCAGGCATGCTTGTAGGAGTTCCGGGTTTTAGAGGCCATGTCGTATCCAAGAAGTCGGAACTACATGGTTCTTCTGTCATGTTCTCATCTTTCCCCCCAAGCTCCGAGCTTCCCTGGAAGCTCTAGCCCATGATCCACCTGAAGGGCCGGGAGAGCCCAAGCCCCGAAACGACTGTTCTTTGAACGTGAAGCTGGTGAATCATAAACTGCGGCAGCACTTAAGCCAGAGCCTTTGCCGGCAGGTAAGAAGCAAGAAGAGCAAGAAGAGGACCAGTACCTGAAGCCTTGAGATTTCAGATGTGGGCTCTTCTTTGTTGATCCTCTGCTGCGCTTGGACCCTGGCCTCCGGTCCCCTGCAGTTCAATCCCGGACCCTAGCGCCCAAAAGCTCCGAAAACTCTAAGCCCTTGGATAAAAGCCGTTACAGATCTGTTAACAGAGCACACACCCTAAATAACAGGACGAGGATGCACCGCTCTTCTCCGACGTCGAGGAGTTGGAGGGCGAAGAGGAGGCAGCGACCTGCTTTTCGTCTTGCGGCGGCGAGGTCATGTTTAGGGTTTCGGGTTTAGGGGGTTTGCAGCTTGCTGACGAGTGGGTTAATCAGTTAGTGAATACCATTTCCATTTTCTTACCATGCACCACCCCCTAGCACCCAAACCATAACAACCTATACCTCAATCCCCAACCCACCGAAAAATCCATATGAAGACCCACCTGAAGACCCAAAACCATAACAACCTATACCTCAACCCCAAGCCCACCGAAAGACCCATAGGAAGACCCAACCCAAGACCCACCTGAAGAACCCATACTAAGAAAATACCCACATCCCCATTGAAAAACCCAACCTGAAACCCCATACACCAAGACCCCCATACAAAAACAAATACTCCCCAACCCGAAATCCCTAATCCGAGAAAATGAAAATGGTAGTCTCTAATAAAATATCTATTTAAGGGGCTGCGCCCAGAGTCGGGCAATGCAGGCACGTTTCAGGGCGACCATCCCAAGCCGCGAGAAGCCAGACTTCTGAACCCGACCCACCGACTCTTAGTCTCTAGAGTATATTCATTCAGTTTTTACTCAATCATTCAATCATTCGTGCATTCACTCATTCATTCACTCATTCATTGGGCGGGGGGGATTGAGGTTTAGGTTGTTATGGTTTTGGGTCTTCAGGTGGGTCTTTCCTATTGGTTATTCGGTATAGGTTGTTATGGTTTGGGCGCTAGGGGGTGGTGCATGGTTAGAAAATGGAAATGGTAGTTGCTAACTTAATCTAGGGCATTTAGGGCTTACACTTTAGCTGCCACTTTGCTGGCGTGCCACCTCGTCGTTCAGGTCTAGGGCGCTATACTTGCAGAGCACCCTCCCCATGTCTGCAGCTTCGTGCTTTTTCCCCAGTAACCGGGCAAACCCTAAACCCTAAACCCTAAACCCTCGACCCTAGACCCTAAACCCTAAACCCTGAAACCAAGTTAAGCTGGCCAGGTGTCAGAGACCTCCGATGAAGGCAGGGCCTCCCGACCGTCAGGATAAGGAGGAGTTGAGGCTCGAGGTTTAGGGTAATAGGGAGGGCTGATGGGGTTTCGGGCTTAGGTAGGGTTTCAGGTTGAGGGTTCGGACTTTAAGCTTGAGGGGTTATGCTTGGGATTCCGAGGTCCTCTTAGATTTCGAGTCTCAACTTGGTTCTCCGAGCTGGAGAGTTCAGAGCCATTTTAAGGTGCACAAGTTTGGGGCAGCCCTGCCAGCAAAAGCAACCAAAACCTGCTGCAGACGTCGATGAGGAGGATGACGAAGAGGCGGGGACTGGGATAGCGGCGATCTTCCTGATAGAATCACCATGTTCGTTAAGCCACCATGTTCGTTAGCAGGTTGGACGGTTGGTGTAAGATATACTGACAAGGAGCCGCGCTTGTGTAAAGCATTTTCTTTGCGACAGACGAGCATATGATGAATATGAATGCATCCTAGACCCCAAACCCATTGAATGGCATCTAGATCCTGAGAATTGTCAAGGGGGTTGGGGGTTTAGGGTTGGGGGTGTTTTGGTCTGTTTTGTCGGGTTTAGGGTCCCGGGTTCAGGGGATATGCTGCCATGTTGCAGTAAAGGATGCGGAGTTTCGGGCGATCTAGAGCAGCACTAGTAGCCTTGCAACGTAGGGGTCCCCAACTTTACGCCCGGGACCTCCAAAGTGCAAAGACGACACGTGCAAAACACGCAGGCCACGCTGATAACTTCAAGCCTCAAGAGAGTGCTTCGCACACTTGGCATCTTAATCCCAGAGCCTCTTTCCGAAATCGAAAACCCCAAACCCTAAACCCTACAACCCTAAACCTTAAACCCGACAACCCTACAACCCACAACCCTAAACCCTAAACCCTAACGCTAAACCCTGCGCCTCGAGCACTACGCCCTAAGCCCCCGGCAGGCTGAAAACGGGGGGGCTCAAGGAAAGGAACCGCGAACGGATGAGCGCAAAGCTTTACACCCAAGTCCGCAAGTCCTGAACACCACAATGTCCAGAACCCCAAAACCCATAAGCCTTGATATGGACATGAAATGGTAGGATGCTTCGTCTAAGGAGCCACAAGGAGGGGCCAACCCAGTAAACCCGAAAGCCCAAACCCCACCCTAAACCCGAAAGGCCCTGTAGAACTACAGCAACTTTGTACTGCTACTAACCCGTATAAGAACCTTTATGGGGCCTGCCCCACAACCTAAGACAACCCCCACACTAACCTTTCTGGTAACCCATATAGTGGCTGTCTTGAAATCTTAGAATGAAGCCCTTGTAGAAAGCTACACCCTAAACCGTAAACCCTAAAGCCCTAAACCCCTAAACTTCCCTCAACTCCTAAACCCCTAAATCCCTAAACCCCAAACCCTTAAACCTCTAAATCCCTAAACCCTAAACCCCTAAACCACAAACGAACCGTTGCCACTTCAGTTTGATTGGGAGCCGGTCGGCGCTTTGGACATGCCCAAGGCAGGGCTGTGTTCTTCGGGGGTTTATGGGTTCAAAGACACGGGCTGCATAGGGATGTATAAGGTTTTATGGGGTTTTGGTAGGATGTTATGGGTTGCTGCAATCTTTTGTGTGCTTTTTTTTAGCATTCGTGAGGCTCTACTTGG